CAGAGCACAAGCATTGGTATTCTCACCTCGGTTCTCCCCTGAGCCCTGTGGGGCAGGCAGGACACATGCCATGTCCTGGCACCTGGTTGACAGATGAGAACACCGCAGGGGACAGGGGGTGCTGGGTTTGAAGGCTTGCTCAGTGCTGCAGCTTGGAGATGGCTAAGCAAAGCACCATCCTAACTCCAAACCCTGGACTATGCTCTGCTTCATCATATGCCTTCTAGAAAGGAAATCCTGCATGAAGCCTGCCGTCCCGGCCCCGGAGGCAGAGCCATGTGGGGTCACCTGGCACCATCAGTGGGAAGGGAGGCTGGAGGGAAGGCCAGCTGTGCTGGGCCGAACGAGGGGCTGTGCAGAACTATGTTCAGGAGCCTGCTTCTCCAGACAGCCCCGGCATTGCTGCGGCCCATGGGAGAGGAACGTGGCTCCTGAGAAGCCTGTAGCTGCCTGGAAACCTCAGCTTGCTTCAGGGTGGAGGGCGGGGCTCAGACCAGTTCCCGATGGGCTTCCAAGGGAAAGGGGGGTCAGAGCTGCATAGGGTCAGTTAAGTGTTCTGCAGGCATTCTTGGGAAGAGTCCCCAAAGGTAGAGATGAGCACCCTGGCAGGTGTCTGTGGGAGGGTGGGGAGAGGTATGAGGGGCCCATGCCCATCGGCGGAGGGCGAGCAGGTCGGGATCCAGACGGCCCTGCAGGCCCAGGGTCACCTGCTCCCGCTGACCAGTTGGGCAGTTTTCCCCCTCAGGAGACAGGGCCAGCTGCCGAGTCCCCAGTGCCCCCAAAGGAGCCCATGCTCAGTTCAGGCTCTGCCGTCCCCGTATTGACAATCCCACTGAGTTTTGGGGGAGGAATCCTGTGTGTCATGTCTCTGGTCCTGTGTGGGTGGGCAAGCTCCTCCTCCTCCCCCAGCCCAGCTCGGGATCCCTGCCTCCCTCCTCCTCCCCCTTCTCCTCCTCCTCCTGCTCTATCCTTGTGGATTTTGTGGGAGACAAAGGCCAGACTCCGAGGTGATCCCAGTTAGACCTTCCGTTTGTTGGAGACTATTTCCCTGCAGTGTGAGTAGGATGTCTAGGGGCACAGCTGGACGATGGTGTTTTCTCAGGAGCCACGGGCATCACAGGGAGGCTTGGAATCTGGTTTAGAAAAACACACAGGATCAGACACTAGCCAGGCTTCCTCCCTTGGGCTCAGCCTGGGCCCTGCCTCCTGCTGGCCAGTGGGTAGTTTCCACTCTGGGCAGCTCCGAGCCTGGGGCCAGAGGTGGCCTGGAGAACCGTAGGCCCAGAAGGCTCCCCAGCATAGAAACCTGTGAGCTCTGAGGTCCCACGTGTTGAAGCAAGGTGTTTGCCCCACGTGGATGCTGGTCTCCAGGGAGTAGGTCTCACATCTGCTCATCTGCTGTGAGGTCACACATGCTGTGCCCCGAGCCTCTGGCTCCTGCTGGCAGGTTATGTAGGGTGGATGAAGTCTGAGCTGCTGGGACAGGCTGGCTGGCTGTGACTGGGGAAGGCTCATCTGGGGTTGGCCAGATTCACTGAGACTCCTGTCATCTCCTGCATGAAGAGGGTAGGGGTTTGTTGTCAGGTTTTTTCCTCCCACTACAAATCTCTCCACGTTCTCTGATGGTTTCAGCTCAGGTCAAGTCAGGTGCAAGGGGATGGAGCTGCCTGGAGCAGTTTCCATACATAATGCATCTCCAGGTTGCTCCATCTTAAAGGATCTCCTCCCGCGTCCTGTCGGTTTCTGGTCCTTTCCTTCTAAATCACCCCCATGTAGCTGGGGTACAGCATGAGACCCCACCTTCAGAGAGTGAGGTCAGGCATGCAGCAGGTCAGCAGAGAGCGGGGCCCCACACTCACATAGAAAACAGCAAAACCCAAACTATTTAACCCTGGGATGTGGTCCTCTAGGCATTTGTGTAGCTGGGTCTCATTCAAGTCCACGAATCTGCACCTGTTTGTTACCCTGACAATGTCACTTTGGTTGGCCTTACCCCGAAGCACAGAATCAAGGTGAAAGCCTGGCCTTTGGCGCCAGACCTGCTTGGCCAGGTGGCAGTTTTGTGGCTCTTTCCTTTCTCCCATACCGCTCCCAATATATCCCAAGTGCACCACTCCAGCCACAGTCAGATCTGACTGATGGGAGAGGCTTGCGTTATCTGGTAGCTAAGCTGGAAGTGGCACCTGCCCAGCACCCCCCTCCCAAGTGGGACATACATGGGGTTTGATGGCCAGCTACAGAGCATCTCCCAAAGGCTCTGGACTCTAATGCTAAATGAGCACTCAGAAGACTCCCCCAGAGCAGAGCGGCTGGATGCCTAGGGGACCTGCCGTGAAGAAACCTCCTTGTTGCCCTTCCTGTTCAGTCTTGTCTGCTGGTACCTTGTCCAGCGTCCACAGGGCTGGAAGAACAGGGCCCTCCCCAGATGTTTGGCACAGCAACTGTTGAATTGGTTTGAGGTTCCCAGGGTAAGCTGGCCCTGCTGGCAGGGGCACAGAATGGATTGACTTTGGGGAAGCAACCCAACTTGGTGAGCCTAGGATTCTTCTGCTTACAAAGAAAATGCTTCTGTCTATTGTCAGGTTGTTGTGAAGATCAGACATGAGTCTGTGAGATGCCTGGTCTAGCATCTGTCTGGCACCTGGTCCAACACCTGTCATATAGCAAAAGCTCCCTGAGTGGTGAGCTGTGAATGCGGGTGCCTGGCCCAGTGCTGGTGGGCAGGCATACAGGGCTCTGCATGTCCAGGGCTCTGCTAGAGCTGCCAGCTTGCAGCGAGCTGGGAGCGCCCCCCCTCACCGCGATGCTCAGCAGACCCAGGAAGAACACCCCCGCTTCTGCGTTACAGGAGCCAAGCCCCAGGTGTGCGTGTGAGGAAGTCCTGAGTCAGAGTTGAACGTGCCGCAGTTGGCTAGCCCAGCTCCTCGGATTGACCTGTGTGCACCTGCAGCCCAGAGAGGCCAGCAGGGACCCGACAGGTGTACAGACCTCTGGGGACATTCTAGGATGCATCTGCTCCTGGGGGCTGGCGAGCAACAGCGCTGCACCCTCCTTTTCTGGGGCCAGCTGTGACCTGGAGGTGCTTTCTCGGGTTGGCGTTGGTGGCCACATTCGGTACCACTTGGGTGCCCCTAGTGTACCAACCCACAGGATAGGAACATTCTACCACCTGGGGTCACCTTAGTGTGGGAGAGGACTCTCGTGGCCTTGGCCTGTTTCATGCTGAAGGCATGCTTCCTTATGTTGGGAAGGGAAACTGAGTAGCCAGTTTGTTTACTTACAGCACAGTGTGAACTGTCTGAGGGTCCCCGCCCGAGCACCCCCTCCCTTCTGGCTCAGACTCTCCCACACATACCCCATTCTCATGGGAGTGGCTTTCCCACCTGCAATTAGGGGAACCTGTGTGTTGCCCTCTCTTACAGGTAAGGCAGTCGGGCCACCGGGAAGGTCAGAAGCCCGTCCAATGGCAGTCAGTGAGCAGGGGATGGAGAGTCAGGACTCAGGCCCAGGTTGACCTGCCTCCCTGCACCACCACGCTGCCCAGCTCCAGGCTTCCTGGCCCAGGGTCCAGAGCTGGCCTGGCCTGCTCACCCTCGGCTGCTACTGGACCAGTGGTTCCAGACCTGGGCCGGGGCTCTGTCCCACGGGCCCCTGCCTGCCATGGTCTGCTCCCCCCAGTCTGTCCCCACAATGCCTCTGTCGGGCACAGCCTCCACGAAGGCCTTCCTTCCCAGCACTCCCCCATCTTCACATATACCTCCCTGGCGGTGGGACCAGTCCTTTCCAGGTACTCTGTTGCCCCCGAGTCTACAGATACAATGTGAGGTGATACACTGCAGCCGGTGACACTGCCCTGGAGGGTTCAACCATCCTCAGGACCTGGGGGACCAGCTGTCATTACCCTCCCCCCTCCCCCCACTCACTAGGCAGAGGAGGAAACTGAGGCCCTAGAAGGACATGAGGGTGGAGGTGTGGGCTTTGGTGTTCCCTGATGGGAAGTGGATGGGGTGGGGTCCACCCTGGCCTGGGAACATGTGCTCTTCTGCTCCCATGCTGCACCTGTCATACCCTTGTCCTTTGTGAGCTCTGCTGCAGGGAAGGGACTGGCACATGGTGGCCGGCCGTGCACATTGCCTCTGTGCCTACCTTAACGTCTTCCTCACGAATCTAGGAGGCCACTGCCCACCTCATCTTGTGTTATGAGTTTTTTTCTCATCGTTTATGGGGTCTTCTGGGTGCTCAGATAAGTAACGCCTTGGCCTTCCTTAGCCTTCTTTGGTGATCTCCATCAGAAGGATCTAGAAAAACAACCTTGCCAGTAGAGGCCCAGCCCTTCTGTCACATGGCCTCGTGTAAGAATAGACTCGGTCTTGATGGTGGGGTGAGGGTTTCTGGCACCAGGAGAGATTGCCAGGTTCAGTAGGGAGCAATTCTTCTCCTTAAACAGATTTTAATTTGAAAGCCTGCTGACAGGAGCAGCTGAGTCTCAGCAAAGGGGGAGAAAACCCTGGTGGCTGATTTAACCTTGAATCCACCTTGGGCACCACCAGCCCCTGTAGGGATGTGGCCTGTGTCCTTTGCAGGGGCCGTAGGGCAGGGAAGGAGCTGTGTCTTCGGGGGTGCCCACCAGGGAAGGCAGGACCCCTCCTCCTTGCCCCCTGCCGCAGAGCTCCTAGCTTCTGCCTCTCCGAGTACAGAGCCCTGGAGCCCCCATGGGTTCACTCTGTAGTTTTCCAGGCTGGGGACCCACTTTCTTGGGAGCTCGGGGTGCTGCCCAGTGCGGGCTCCCATGCCTTTCTGGGGCTCCTGTGTTTGGGACACGCAGTCTTCCCTCGATTGTCTCTGACTTTGTCTTAAAGTTAACTCAGGGATGCATGGCCCTGCTCATCCTGGGGCCACAGGCAGCAGCGAGTCACCTTGCTCTGAATTCTTCACCCTAACCAGAAAGTACTATGTTTCCCTTTCTAATGGAGTTTTTTTTTTAATTTGCTTGTTTCTAGAGCAAATCATGGAGGAAAATAAAAAACATGGTGCACTGGTCTCCCTTTGTCATGTCCTTCAAGAAGAAGTACCCCTGGATCCAGCTGGCAGGACACGCAGGTAGCTGCTGGCCTCTGGCCTTCCTTGCCTGATGATTAGTTCTGTGGGGAGGCACCCAGTGCATGAGGGAGGGGGTACCCGGCCCTGGATGCTCTAGAGATGGAAGCATCTAGAACAGGTTGTCTCTTAGACTTTGTGGTCTACAGTCTCAGCCAGGCTGGCTGCATGTGGCCTTCAGGCTATCCTCCCCAGGGCCCATGCCGCCCCTTCCCCAAACACTCACATGTCTTCCCCTTCCTCTGTCCCTCTGACTTTCCATCTCTCTCTCCCCCTCCGCCTCTCTTCCCCCCAAGCTCAATAAAAATGTGAAATCATCACTCACAGCTCGCCCACCATTTGTCATGCTGGATAAAGCGGCCACGTTGAGTGTTTCATTGAGCGCCCACTGTATCCCACATCACCATGGCCTTGGGGGTCATGACATCCATGGAAGTAGGGTATCTGCCCCAGAGGAGCTTAGAGGTGGTGGAAGATGCAGGCTGGTCACCCCACAAGCAAAGGACAGTGTATAGAGTCTGAGGTCCAGGTGGCCGGGGTGCCCGTCAACTACAGGGGAGGAGGGACGTGTGTCCTCAGAGCCCGAGAACTGGCTAGTCTACATGTGGGGAGGTTTCGGTGGCTGCCCTGGACTTGACCTTTGTGACCGCAGACCAGCACAGGGTCTGACATTTCCTTTATATCCCCAAGGCACTGGGGCAACACCCTTCCTGAATAAAGACTTGCCTGACAGTGTGGCTAGGAAGGAGCAATGCACGGGTGGAGCACTGCACGGGTGGGCTGGGCCATGGACCTCCCGCTTCTCAGCCACTTTCCCTGTCCTGGAACTGAACCCAGCCCTATCAGGACCCCTTCACTGCCTGAGCAACAGGACTGAGGGTGGGGTGGGGGTCCTGATGGTAGCACACAGAGGCGTGCGTGGGCCTCACTACCCGAGCTGAGCCTCCAGCAGTGAGGGCCCGTGTCCTTGCATCTTCAGACCAGGAGCCTGGGGTTCTCGGGAAAGCTGGGGGCCCAGCCCAGCTGTGCAGCCTGGGTGGGCGGGCGCTGGGACTCGCTACCCTCCCAAAGTGCTTGCTCCGCAGGCGGGGAGCTGGGGAGCACCCTCAGCCCTGTGCTGCCGAGGGGGCCATGGGGAGGGCCTGGGACAGGGACCAAGGGCCTCCCCCCACCTGCTCTGCAGGGAGTTTCAAGGCAGCGGCCAACGGCCGGATCCTGAAGAAGCATTGTGAGTCCGAGCAGCGCTGCCTGGACCGGCTGATGGCCGATGTGCTGAAGCCCTTCGTGCCCGCCTACCATGGGGACGTGGTGAAGGACGGAGAGCGCTACAACCAGATGGACGACCTGCTGGCTGCCTTTGACTCGCCCTGTGTGATGGACTGCAAGATGGGCATCAGGTGAGCCAGGCCCCCCGAGCACGCTTCAGCCGCCGCCGTGCCCCTGCCCTGCCCGCAGAGGTACCTGATGGGCCTCTGGGGAAGCTGGGCGTTCCCAGCCTGCCCCGAAGTCTGGTGTGCGCCAGAGCAGGCTAGTGGTCTGATGGGACCACTGGAACCCCATCCCACCCCAGTCGTATCACATTATAAGCAGAAGGGGACAGGACCCTAGCTTTGCCCCTGACAGCCTCCTCCCTTGTCCAGAGCCAGTGGCTATGGGGCTGGATAATGGGGCCCGGCTTGGTGCTGAGCTTCCCTGGGAAGGGCAGGTGGGCTTGCTTGGGGTAGCAATGTGGAGGCTCTACAGAGAATGGGCTAGTGGCTCTTCTCAGCACCCCTGTACCCTCACCCGTGGAAGAGGGGAGCCAATTAGTGGAATATGCTGGTTTGCTGACAAAGGCTTGCACCTGCCATCCGAGTGCTGTGAAGCAGGAGCCTGGGAGCCTGCTATCTTGGTGGGCGTGGAGTGCTCTGCACCCCCCCAAGGCAGACCACAAGGGGGTGCTAGGGCCTGTGTGTGGAATCGGGCCCCACCCCTGGCATCTGCCCAGGGAGATAAGCCAGGAGAGGCCTCAGGAGGGAAGGAGACAGGAAGAGTGGCTAGGAGGAGAAAGGGTGGTGCAGAGCCAAGAGGGTCCCAGACCCAGCCACCAGCACTGTGGGCCCCATTTTAGCAGCATGGTGTTCTCATCCCTCTTGCACGTGGAACATTCTGACCCAGGAGTCACAGAGCGGCTCTTCTGTTTGCAGGTAGGGCAGTGACACGTGGTGTCAGGGTGCCATGCTCACCTGGGGGACGTTTGGCTGCAAGTGCCCAGACTGGGCAGTCAGATGCTGGGCTCCTCCATCCGGCCAGTGGCTCACTGGGGAGATTGACATGGGTGGGGGGGGGGGGTTCTGGGAAGCAGCTCCAAACCGGGGTCCTGTGTTTGCTTGGGATGGTGGAAGCGGTTTTAGTTCTTAGAAGAGGAGAACAAGAAAGAAGGGTGTGTGTGTGTCCATGTGTCTGTGTGTGCACAGGAGAGAGGAGGGCCAGACAGCCAGTTCCCTTTCCCTCCTCCCTTCTCCAAGGACTGTCATCAAGTCAGGCCCTGCAGGCAGGGACTAAGGGATGGTGAAGACATCCCACTGTTTGCTCATGCATGTCCCTGATCTCCCTCCCTCCATCCATCCAAGGCCCTCACTGCTCCAGCCCACAGGGAGGAAGCAGAATGTCCCTCCAGCTACCAGTCGGCCACTGCTCTTCCCAAGAGTCTTATTTCTGTCCCCAGAAGGCCCTCCCACGGTACAGCAGGATGAACCCTCTTGAGGGAAGACACATAAATATTCTGATTAGTATTCACTCCAACCAGGACCCCAAAAAATACACCCTTGGGGATGAATGTGTGGCAGGTAGGTCCTGACAGTTGTCCAGTGTACCTGTCTATTCTCTGGGAAGCTGCTAGGGATGGGCACCCCCTCCACCCACAGCTGCCTCCTGTCCCCTGTGTCCTGCAGCTTCTGTCTCTCAGCACCCCAGTGCTCTTGGGAGAGACCCAGGATGACCAGGGAAGACAGCATTGGCCCAATTGTGGGCCGGGCCTGGAGGCAGTGGGGCAGGAGGGGGATGGTAGGTCTCCCCAGAAGCCTTCTCCTCCCTGCTGCGCCCTCACCGCCACCCAAAGGCATGGGTCATGGTCCAGTCCAAGCAGGGTCCACGCAGCCAGGGAGAAGCACAGCCCATGTCTGTACCAGGCCCTGCAGACCAAGCCCTGAGGGGGCTCTCTGTGACCCTGTGTCCCTGCGGGGACTGCAGTGCTTTCCCAGCTGTGTCCATCCGGGATCCTTGGCCTCACAGCCTCTCCTAAGACCAGCAGCCCGTGACCATACACAGTGGGGGCCTGTGCTTGCCAGAGGGATGAGGCCGGAGCCGGTAGTCACCACCGACACCAAGCCCCGGGCATGAGGGGTAGAGACTAGTCAAAAGGAACTGATGGGCAGGCTGATCAGCAAACCCAGCCTCAACCATTTTGGAGGCCTGAGGAAGAGGGGACACAGGCACCAGTCAGTGCACCAGGAGCATCGTGGGAACGGGGATCCACACGGACATACGCTCACGTTGGTCTGGCGGGTTTTCTTAGATGTGACTTGCTAGGCAGAATCAGAAGTGTCTTCCTGACATCGGAGTCAGGGCCGGTGGGTGGAGACCAGGACTGTCGGCAGCTTTTGAGGCATAGGCATGTAAGCTGTGGGCCCCCCACGGGCCTGCTGCCTTTCCTTCATGGTGAGTGGCTGGTCCCCATGGCAGGCCCTGCTCCCTCATGTGAGACAGAGGGGCCACCTCCCTCCTGGGGTGGTGGGGCCGGTGTCAGGGAGCTCAGGCCCCACCATCCGGCTGCTGACCATTTCCTCTGCCAGACGGAATGCAGATGGACCGGGGCGGGGGGCTTTTTAGAGAAAAGCCCACTCAGAAAGGACTGGAAGCTGAGGTCTGCTTCCTGTTTAAGGAGCTAGTAAATGCTCTTTGCAGAAGTAGAACCACCCACCCACCCCAGAGGCCTCCATAGTTTGCTCAGGAGCATTCAGGATGGCCAGCTGCTCCCAGCCACACGGCATACACACACCAGCATGACGGGCCTCCACGCAGAAGCGTCCTGCCCTGCAGCCTCTGCCTTCAAGCTCCTGTCGTCACTGACCTGGCTTTGGAGGCACAATGGTGTGTGCATGTGCATGCACATATGTGTGTGTGTGAGCATGGGTGTGTGTATGCGCATGTGTGGGTGTGTGTGCACATGCTTGTGGGTGTGTGTGCATGCGTGGAGGTATGTGTGGTGGGTGTGCAAATGTGGGGGTGGAGGTGGGGGTGGGGTGTGTGTGCACATGCAAGAGGGTGTGCACAAGTACAGCCAAGGGCTGACAAAAGGTTCTAGATGACCAGGCCCACGTTCACATCGGAGGATTTGGCTTTTATATTTAATACAGTGGTTTCTGGAAACTTGTTCTTCAAAGACATCATGAGTTGACCTGTAGTCTGTTCTGGGTCCCAAACCAGCAGCTTGGAGCAGGTGTGATGGAAAGTGGTGGAGCAAGGCCCTGGGATGGCGGGGAGGAAGGGGCTGGGCTGCAGTCCACAGCTGTCCGCCGTGGGCAGCTCCCACCCGCAAAGGTGGGAGGGAAACCCCTCTACTGTGGCTGCAGCTTAGTACCGTGATCTTGTTTCAGGAGGGTCACGGGCAGCAGTGGAGCCCAGGATCAGGGAGGGGGGGTTTGATTGGGGAGCAGGGATGTGTCTGACGTGCAGGAAGCCGATGTGTGCACAGGGGTGGCTTCCCACCTTAGTTTGGTGAGGGGGGTGAGGGAGGCATTGCGGGGCCAGGGATTTGGCCTGTGCTGCCCCTGTCTCTCCGGGGGGTTCCCAAGGGACTCCTGCCAGTTGAGCCAGCATGTAAGGAGGGCAGGGCACTGAGCCACTGCATTGGTTGCATTTCTTCGGGCCTTTCGGGGGCTCAGGGGTTCAGGTGTGAGGAGGCAGCCGCTGCGCCAGGCAGGCTGAGCCGGCACATCTACAATAGGACAGTGGCCTTGGGGCCCCCGGGCACCCCTTCCCAGTCCTGGGCCCACACACACACACACACACACACACACACTGTGGCCCCTTCAGGGGCCGCCTTCTAACCTGGCCTTCGTACTGGAGATGTCCCCTCTGGAGACAGCCAGTGGCATCTAAGGCCTTCCCACCCCGGAGGACTGGGGAGGGAGTGGGGCCAGAGGGACAGAACTAGCTCTGCCATTGCTCAGGTGCTGGCTTTGGGGATACCTGCTTTATGGAAAGGTTGCAGGGAGCCAAGCGGGGTCCTCTGGGGCCCTGGGCAGACTCTGCCCTCAGCCCCTCTCCCGACCTCACCCCAGCAGGACGAGCTGCTGAGCTGCCCTGCCTCCTTGCACCCTGCCCTGCTGGCTTCCGTGGGGAGCCCTGGAAGAGAGAGCCCCTCAGCTCTGCCAGGCCCCCTCAGAGATGCTGGCAGGGACACCCCATCTGCAGGGCTGCCCGTTCTCTCCCCAGCCTGAGCAGAGTGCGTGACCATCCCTCCCAGTGAGCATGCCCTGGCCAAGCTGAATGCAGCCCCTCGGGCAAGGCTGGAACTGTGGTCCGGTCAACAGTCCCCCTTACCCCCTCCCTGCACAGGACCTACTTGGAGGAGGAGCTCACCAAAGCCCGCAAGAAGCCCAGCCTCCGTAAGGACATGTACCAGAAGATGATCGAGGTAGACCCTGATGCCCCAACCGAGGAGGAGAAGGCCCAGCGCGCTGTGACCAAGCCCCGGTACATGCAATGGAGAGAGACCATCAGCTCCACCGCCACTCTGGGCTTCAGGATCGAGGGCATCAAGGTGAGGCTGGCGGAGGCCTGGGCCACTGGCTCCCAGCTGAGGAGGGCACAGAGGCGCCCACCTCTACCTGCAGGGCCGTGGATGGGCGAGCCATAGTCCCTGCAGCCTCGCTGGGTTTCTGTCCATGGCCCACTTTGGGCCCCGCTGCCTGGATCAGTGTCAGGGTAGGACGGCTGGGAGCTAGCCAGCGGGCTGAAGGCTGGGCGTCTCTGCAAATGGTCCCCTGGGGACCCAGGCTCCCGCCAGCTCCAAGCTGAGAAAGCGATTCGCTGTTTTCTTGTCCTCTTTCTTTTTTTGCATTTGGCCCTCGGACTGGCTGCAGATTTTATGTGTGCCCCCGCATAATGCTCATTTCCTTACCTTACCTATTTGAAACAATCCACTGTTCCCTAAACTCTCCCTCACAAGCTGGACATCCTGCCTCATTCATTGTCTGGCCAGCCCTGGGAGAAGCCAGCTGTCTCCACCAGCTCTTTGCCTGCCTCTCTCCTCCCCTCCCCTGCCTCTCACCTCCCTTGCTCCAGGAGATGCCCCACAAAGAGCTCCAGTGGGGAAGACTCCCCCAAGATTTGCCAGCCACCTGGCTGTCCCTCTGCCCCAGCGTCTCGCCTAATTTTTTTTTAAGATTTATTTATTTATTCATGAGAGACACACACAGAGAGAGGCAGAGACATAGGCAGTGGGAGAAACAGGCTCCATGCAGGGAGCCCGATGTGGGACTCGATCCCAGGACCCTGGGATCACGCCCTGAGCCAAAGGCAGACGTTCAACCACTGAACCACCCAGGTGTCCCAGCGTCCCTCCTAATCTTTCAGAGGCAACCACATTGCATTAACTAGCCTCCAGCCTGGTAGCACACAGACCCAGGTTTGGCTCCTAATGGAGCCATCCTCACTCACCTTTTGTCCCCAAGAACAGAGTTCCTCCCAGGAGAGCTAAGCTCCATGTGCTTCCCTGGAAGAGCCTGGAACAGACATGGTGCCAGGCTAAGAAGACAGAGCAATCTCTGGCACTGGGTGGACCAGGGAGCAGGGATGGGCAGGCAGTATTATATCTGGGCTTCCAGGGAACCCACGATAAAAGATCTCATTACATTACAAAGGGATCCTCATTGACTTTGGGGTGGGGAGCCCCTCTCTTCTGTCTGGTGAGGGAGGGCACCTCTGGACAGCAGGGACCCCTAGGCACTCGGGTTCCCAGGGCCAGGCCCTGGGTGAATCTGAGACCCATCTGTCTCGCTCCTCCATCCCTGGTGTCCACACTCCCAGGCCTTCCCTGACTGTCCACACTCTGCCAGAGACACTGCCACCACCACCCTCCCTTGTGGGGCTCAGGACTGGTCCCCTCTGCACTGCTGCCCGACTAGCTGCTCTGTGTTCTTGGACTGCCCATGGGCCCTCTGCTGACCCCCCTGGGTGGGTGTCCTCCTTCTCAGAAAGAAGACGGCTCTGTGAACCGAGACTTTAAGAAGACCAAAACGAGGGAACAAGTCACCCAGGCCTTCAGAGAATTCACTAAGGGGAACCGCAACATCCTGGTGAGTCAGGGCCCCCCACTCCCGTGCCCTCTGAGGCTCTTGGCCAGCCCTAGACTGAGCCAGGCCACCACAGAACATGCCAGCCCCAGGCTTCCGCTGGGCAGGTGAAGAGGAGGGCGACTCGGTTGCCAGCAGCATTTGAGGGTAGATGGGGGCCCTCAGGGGGTCGGGTCTCTGCCTGCCGTCCACCTCATGGCTCCAAGGTTGGTTCCCTCCTGTATGGGGATTGTCTGCTGTGCGCTTGTGTGCTCACCACATCCGCAGGGTGGCCCTCTGGGGTGGGGACATTCTTGTCCTCACGTCACAGGTGAGGAGCTGAGAGGTCAAGGCACAGCTAGCTAGGAAAGGACAGAGCTGGACCTTGCATGTGGGTCGGCCTCCTGCAGCCTGCTGGCCCCCGCACTCCCCAACACTTCCTGGGCCGGCCAGGGCTCCCCCAGGCCCTGAGCCTCCCCCAGGCCCTATGAAGCCACAAGAGGGAAGTGTGTCTGGGGTGGGGTCACCCCGTCTTCCCCAGCAAGAACTGACCGGTTCTCCCTGAGCCCCAGGTGCAAGTGGCACAGGTTTGGGACAAAGTGGTATCACATTTGTCGCTGCAATAGTAGACAGGCTGGATGGAGGCCCTGCCCTCTGGGGTCGGGACCTTGGCCCTCCAGACGGAGGTAGGGTGTGCTGAGCCTCTGCACCCTGAGGGAAAGGCACCCTGGGATGGACCCAGGCACACTAGGGACAGGCACTTTCTGAACGGGGGTGGACCAGGACAGCCTTTCCTATGAGCAGACTCCTCACTGGCCAGACCCAAGGATCTCCCTCCCTCCTTTTCAGGCAGGGGAGGCCCTCCTTAGCTCCTGGCAAGGAGGCTTTGGTCACGGGGTATGCACCCAAACTCTTTCACAGCCCAAACCCTCTTTTTTCCGGGTCACCTGCTCCTCAGCAGTGGCTGCCACAGAGCACAGCCCCACACCTCTGCGGAGGGCTTATTCGCGGGGCCAAGCCCCAGGCCGCAGCGCTGCTGCAGAAGGGCATCCGGGTACCGTGGGAGCCTGCATGCGATGGGCTTCCCCGTGGCCCCTGGGGACGGCAGGCACCCCCAGAGCCAGCACAGCTCAATCCCCATCAGAGGGCTCTGCAGAGAGGCCGCTGTTAGAGGTATTTGTGGCTCTCCCACTTGCTCTGTCCTTTGGAAGGTCAGGGGCATGGAAGTTTGTATTCTGGAAGACACCATGGCAACCAGGCTGTTGGGATGCGGCCTCCACTCTGCTGGCGTTCCAGAATAAACTTTGCCCTTGTGTGCAAGCTCACGGGGGCTGCAGGGCTGTATGGAGGCTGTCCCTCCTACACCTCCCGCTCACGAGGGAGCACGGGAGGCCCCCGCACTCCCTGACACTGACAAAGCGTGGCTGCCTACCTCGCCTGGGCCTCAGTCTCTGGCCCTTCTAGATGAGGGAGACTGGAAGAAATCAGGGTGTAAAGTCCCTTCCACTCTGACACCAGCGAGTCTAACAGGCCACGTGGGGCTTAAAAGATACCCAGCCCCCAGGTGTCCAAAACTCTGGCCATTTCTGTTCCCAGATCGCCTACCGGGACCGGCTGAAGGACATCCGGGCCACCCTCGAAGTATCTCCTTTCTTCAAGTGCCACGAGGTAGATACTGGGCTTTCATCCTCCTGGGTAGAGAGCTGTGCTCTGTGTGGTCAGCCAGGGCCCTCGGGCCTGCCCACCTGAGTTGTGAGTGTGCCTCCCACGTTAATAGATCTGCTGTTCTAGAAGCTGGAGTGGAATTTTTAGGACCATGCAGCCAGAGGCAGGCCACCTGGGATCAAGCCCCTTGCTACCTGCAGGAGCCTCATCATCATGCATCTGCTCCCTGGACGGAGAACGCAGGGCCATCCTGCCTGAGCGCTGTGGTCACCATCCTCTCACGTCTCCCTCTCCCTCCCAGCTTCTGAGGGGGGCTCATTGCCCATTCCAGGTGGCTGTGGCAGGACTTCTATCCCACATGCCTCAGGGTCTTAGGGCAGAGCTCCTAGAGCTGCTGAAGCAGCCACCCATCACCACCCGAGATCTTCTGAAAGGGCTGGCCGGTGTTCAGGCACCACTTTTTTTTTTTTAATTTTTATTTATTTATGATAGTCACAGAGAGAGAGAGGCAGAGACACAGGAAGAGGGAGAAGCAGGCTCCATGCACCGGGAGCCCGATGTGGGATTCAATCCCGGGTCTCCAGGATCGCGCCCTGGGCCAAAGGCAGGCGCCAAACCGCTGCACCACCCAGGGATCCCCAGGCACCACTTTTGAAGCAGAGCTAGAACTTTCCACCTTCTCCTGCTTTTGCACTTGTTGGTCTGCAGGGGCAGCAGGCAGCAGACAGGGAACCCAGACACCCAAGAGAGGTTTGGAAGTTGTCAGCAGGTCCCCTGGAGGGTCTGTAAGACCTGAGGTCAGAGTCCAAAGCCCCCGGCCCCTAGAGCGTGCATGCACATTCACATACCCATGCACGCTGCTCCCCCAGAAACAGTTGCTGCCATGCCCAGGTGTGTGTGAAAGCAGGGAAGCCACGCTCCTTGAAGGCTTGTGGCTCCTTCCAGAAAGCAACCTCTCTCAGGGTCATGTTTGGAAGGAGCCTCCACCTCAGCCCTGCCCAGAGAGAGGGCTGTGGGTACAGCAAGAGAAACAGGAGACAGGAGATACCAGGACTCCGGGCACAGGGAGAAGCCCCAGAAGGAGGTGGGCCAGTCCCAGCTTGGCCTCATGGCATCTTTGTGCAAGTGACACAGCTGGTCCTTGGATCTTATCCCTGCCTGGCCCCGTGGTCAGGGTGCACCTGTCCCACGTGGTGGCTCTTGGAGGGTGCCTGGGTAGGACTACCCGTGAGGAGGGACTGGGGTGCCCAGAGGGCAGACGGGGCGGCTCCTGGCCTAGCCATTCTTGGGCTGCCCCTCCCTCCCCTCGTCCTCATGGAGATCCAGGTGTCCAAGCCCTCTGCTCCTCCCAGGGCCTCTGGATTCCCTGCTGGAGCCTTCCTCCCCACCTCCCCCCTGCAGCCTGCCTGCGTGCTCCAGGGGACAGGGGCTGTGGGCCTCTGAGCCCCAGGACCCACCCCACTGGCCAAAGGACCCCACTGCCCCCGCTGGTAGCCCCATCTTCCACTCCTCTCCTCTCTTCTGCACCTTTGCTGTGATTTCTGGAAAATTGTTTTTGCTGCACTCTCTCTGGAGTCTCATTTGGAAGCTTCAGGTCTAGAAAGAGGCCAGATTAGCTGAGGCTTCTGCCATTTTCCGTCTGGGAAGAAGCAAGCCCCCTCTGGGCTCAGCATTTCCACGGGCTCTTCCCTGTCCTTCCCAGAGCCCCCGGCAGGACCCCACACCCTCTCCCCACACCTCATATCTTCCCCAGCCCCACACAGTGACCTGGGGGAGGGTTTAGGGGATGTGTTTGTATTGGGGAAAGCACTTTATTCCATGCAGTTGCTCTGACCTGGTCTGGAATGTGGGGGTGGGTGGGGGGGCTCATTAGTGCCCCAGGTCCCCAGAGAAGGGTCCTAGGCCTGTCTGTGCAGGTTTTGCTGGCGTTGTGCTGCTGGAATGGGGATGGTCTGGGCCTCACTGACACCCCTTCGGGGGGGCTATGTGCCCATGTGGGCAGCCTTTCCTCTGCCCTTGGGTACAGAGTGTGCAATCTCCTCAGCGCCTCCCTTCCACCCACACAGTCCATGGGTAGGAAGGGCATGATGAGGTCCCGAGGTTTAGCCGTGGCCTGCAGTAGTGGAGAGTGTGCAGGCCAGGGCTGCGGGGTGGGGGTCTGTCATCCCATATGTCCTCACGGAAGGTGGAGGCTGTCCTGGTAGCCGGTGGCCTCTGCCCCCTGTGGGGGCGGGAGGGGGAGCTGTCCCAGGTGCACCCTGGCTGCAGTGTGGCAGGCCCTGCTCAGCTCCCGCTCCCGGCTCCCCTGCAGGTCATCGGCAGCTCGCTCCTCTTCATCCATGACCAGAAGGAGCAGGCCAAGGTGTGGATGATCGACTTTGGGAAGACCACGCCCCTGCCCGAGGGCCAGACCCTGCAGCACAACGTACCCTGGCAAGAGGGGAACCGGGAGGACGGCTACCTCTCGGGCCTGAACAACCTCATCGACATCCTGGCAGAAATGTGCCAGGGCTCCCCGCTCGCCTGAGCCCCCCTCCCACCCCCCTACCCCACGCCCGCCTCACTGCACCCTCCCTCCTCCCCTTCTGCTTCCTCTCTCCTCAATTTCACCTTCATGTCCACCTGGGTGCAAGCCCCAAAACTGACCCTCCCGATCTGCACTACAGGATACATTGTAGAGAGGAGACTCAGGTTTCCAAGAGGAGATGAGAGATTTTTCTGGTGACTTTGCTCTTGGAGCTGGGGCTTCAGCGGCTCTCTATAAGTAGGATCGCCAAGCAGAAGCTGAATGCCCAGACCCAGGCTCCACCGCCTGCAGGGAGGCTCCGTAGGGTTTAGATCTGGAGGAAGGCTCAGGTGCAGTGGGGTGGGTCCCTAAGGCCAGAGCCGGCCCCAGCCTGGGCCTCGCGTCCTACGGGGGCCTGCTGCCCCCTGGTGGCCGGTGCAGTTCGTGCCACTGCCAGGCTCAGCCTGTGTGTGTTCCATCCTCTGAGGCTGGGGGCCCAGGTGAGGAGCCTTGTAATAACCCCGCTTCAGCAGGTGCCTGGCTGCAGGCTTCTGGTAGTTGGGGCACAAAAACCACTGGGAACTGCATGTGGGCCATGAGTAAAGCACTCGCTGCTTAGTGGCCTGGGTCGCCCACAGACGCGTGGTGATTTGCTCAAGCAGGGACCCACCCAGCTGGTAGTGCCAACCCTCCAGCTTTGGGCCAGACCCCAAGAGCCAGGAGAATGCTGCTGTTGATCAGCTATGCTCTCTGACCTAGGCATTCCTAGGCGGGGGCGGGAGCTGTGTTCTTCCATCTGATTATCGCCCTCTGCATTCAGAGGACACTGCAAACCTGAGCTTCCAGGAATGTCACCCAACCCTCAGAGTCACTTGTGCCTCCAGCTCCCTACCTTGCTATGGCAAGGTCTGGGGCTCTGGGTGGGGTGGCCCAGGGCACGCCAGCCCCCAGAGGAAAAAGAACAGGACCTTTAGAGCACACTCCCCTTATATCCCTTCAACCCCTCACCACCACCGCCTCCCCCCATGCGTCGCTGGGCTTTCATGAGCTGAAATCCCCAGCAGATTGGGGGCAGGGCTTGCAGGCAGTGCTGGGCAGGTCAGAACCAGGTTTCTGGTTTACTGGCCTCATTCCCCACAAAAGTAACTCCTAAGGCCTGAAAGGCTCAGACCCACATTTCCCACAGGTGGTGTGGGCAGCTCCCAGGATGGGTGGTGGCTGCCAGGGGCAGGGAGGGGGTGCTCCAGGCATCTCCTCCTGGTGCTTCTAGGTTGCTTGAAGATTACTGGGGAGCTAATTAAGCCGTATTTTAATTTTTGAGCAAGCCAATTATTGAGAAGAATGTAAAATTGGCATGACTTTTGAAGAACAAAGACCTCAGTTCTGTGTCCATTTGGCGATGTGCTCCTAGGTGCACCCCCCTTGCCATTGGAGGCGCAGGAGTGCCCAGAATTGTGCTCTGACCTGTCAGCAGGCCCTGGGGCCAGTTGCTCTGCAGGGAGCTGTGTCAGGACATGGTGGAGACATGTGTACCCGGATATGTGAGCCTGGAGGGACCAATCCAGAGGCAGGACTTCCTGGGCTGCCCCCCTGTCGCTCCAGGGTCTGGGGGGGGGGGGGGCTGTGACTTCCCCAGGCCATGCCAGCATTTCCCCTTTCCTGCTGGGTGAGTGACAGTTGGTGGGGGCGGAGGGTAAGACACATGAGGATGTGTAAGTACAGATTTTAAAAAAGGAAATCGCTCTGAAGCTTACTGGCTCTTGTTCAAAACCGTGGTGAGCTCCCGCGTGGGGTTTGCTAAAAGACACACATACCCCCCCCCCCACCAGCCGGCTGAGCACGAGAGGCCTCGTGACAGCATGTGACCCGGTGAAGGCAGGAGCACCAAAGCCAGCTCTGGACCTCTGGGGCCGGAGTCACTCGCCACGGCACAGAAGGGGCCTGGTGGTCCGCACACCTGAGGTCTGCGGGGAAGGGACATTGCTCATTCAGACATTGAGATTCGTGATTCCACCGCACTGGGCTGGCCAAAAGCCACCCTCCCTCTATTGATGAAGAAAGTTTGCTGAAGCAAATTAATGCTCTGAACAAAAAGTGCAGGGGACCAGCTCAATATACTTAAGAGAACAAATTTTCCAAGCACTTTAAACAGGCGCCAATTGTTGGCCAACAATGCGCTAAAATGCAAATGATTTGTTTGTTAGAGGAGGTCCATGGTGGCCCTCACTGGTAATAGGTTGCTTTAGGTCACATTCTAGCTGTGAAAGTGGTATGAAGTGGCATCTTCTAGGATTATGCTCTTCCTTAGGGGTTGGGGTTTTGTATTTACTTGCCAGCTCTCCTCTCGTACCTCTTCTCTCCAACTTCCTGCCACCCTGCCTCCCCCTTGTCCTAGAGGGTTAGATGGATCTGGAGTGGAGTTTCCTTGAACCCTTCCCAGCCTAGCCTTGGGTCCTGGCCGCTCAGGTGCCAGGAGGGCGGGACAAGCCACGTGCACCTGTGTCCAGGTGAGCGCCACCCTCCCCCCCCCACGGGCATTCTCAGTGTTCAGCATGCTTAGCGTATTCGAGGAAGGTTTCTCTACTGCTCATCCCCAGACTTGCCTTTAGTGTCATGTAAGAAGTTTTTAAGTTATATTTATTTTTTTCCGGTTTTTTAATTGCACAAAACACTAAGACTGGGAGGCTGGATTCTGTTTGTTTGAAAGCTGTGCCTTCTTTCTGAACTCCCTTTCCTGCTTGGTGGAAAGAGCCCGGACACAGCACTGCCCCCCCCCCCAGATGGACTCTTTCCCCTGTGGGCTGTATCTAGCTGTGAGATTTCCCCGCATCTAGGCCACCCTCTGTGTGTATATAACCCAGGCCGCTGGTTTGGGAAGAGGCAGGGTGTTCGCCCCCTGCCAGGGCCTTTCTTCTGGAGGAGACGACTCCCCAGAGGGTTCTCCTTCCCTCTGTACCCCTTTTGCCAAGACACCTGGACAAAACAACTGTTACAGACCCCCCTCCCCCATACAGTGCCTGTTGAATAGACCGCATTGCTCTGTACCTTCCCGAATAAAGGCCCAAGAGACCGCAGTGCTGTCTGCTGTGCAGTCCTTTTGACCCTAAACCCCGGAGAAGCACCTCGAGGTGGGTGGGTGGCAGTGGCACTCTTTGGAAACCAGAGGATTTCACTGGGGCTCTGAGGACCCCCCAGAAATGGGAGCCCAGATTGAGTAACATTTTTATCTGCAAAGGATTTAAGACAGTCTTCAAATTTAATCTTTCTAGCCTTGTCCACACAACCTTTATACAGTAATTCAGGGCGTGGAACAGCCACAAAGAAGTCCTTGTCCCCCACCCCCCCACTCTCACCCCCACCATCAGCCAGGGAGGGGAGTCACCAGGAGGCCATTGCACATGTAGCCTAGCTCTGCAAGGTGAAGGGCTGGTGGCTTCCTCTGGCCCACTTGGGGCCCTGATCACCTCCAGGAACAGGGCTCTGTAGTCTGCGTGTTGCAGATGGGGAAACAGGCCAAACCGTGTGACCAGGTACTAAACGGGCAGCAGAGATTCGGATTCAGACTTTGCCTGGTTGCAGACCTGATTCTGTCTTTCTCCTTCCTGGGGAGCATCTGCAGGTAGAAAGCCTGTCCCGTCCTGGGTCCCAGGCTGAAAGCACAGGGCTCGGTGCTCCTTGTCCGCCACTTCTGATTGCTGGGGCTGCTCGCTCTCACCTCGCTTACCCCTTGCAGAGGTGTGGATGCTGGGCAAAAGCAAGATGCCCCAGCCACTGTCTCCCACAGTGATGGTCCTACCTGCATCTTCTTGGGGTTTGCAGCCAGTCTGTCCACGCCATTGGGATGTCACCCCGAAGGCCAGGTCTTGCCCCTGATGAATGGTGTTTGTTCAGCGTCTAGCAGCGCCAAGCCCGGGACAGGTGCCTAGCCGTGTGCGCTGGTGAGCGCCCTGAGCACCGTTGGTGACTAAGGCTGTTGGGTGTGTGGATGCCCTTCCTTCAGCAGGAGGACAACTCACAGTTGGCGTGGGCTCCCTGGCCCCTGGGACCTGCACCCCCCTGCAGCTGTCCCTCCTTTTATACTCTAGACCTTGTCATTGCCCGAGACCAGCCGGCAGAGCACCAGCAAATACTACCTGGAATGCATGAGTGCCAATCCTCCTTCCACTCACAGCTCTGTCCTCTGTGGCCCCACAGGGCTTGGTGATCACCCACCAGAGATGGGGCCTCCCTGCCTTCAGACCAGCAGGCAATCCAAGTTCAAACTCCCACTCCAAGGTTCTGCCTCCCTATGGTGTGCTAGGACTGGTCTGGGGCCAGGGAAACCTATTGCTTTCCAGGTCACTTCTGGCACCAGCCTGGCGTGCCCTGGGTTGCCTAGAAACCAGGTAAACCTGGCATTTATCAGGGAGAACTATCCTGAGGGGCCAGGCACTGAGGGGCTGTGGAGCAAGGCTGGGACAAGCCAATGGGCAGCATCAGCAGGTGTGAGCCACTCTTCCGTCTCAGGACGTCTTCAAAGAGACCCACAAACTAGTCTCGGGTCAGTCCCAGGAGAGTCAGGGATAGGAGTGGACATGCCCGTGCCCTGCTCTGCCTCCCACTGGTCATCCCGTTCACAGGGCATCATCTCGGGTGGCACTGCTAGCCTCCTCAGTTGCCATGTGGGTCAGTGCGGTGACGGCAACAGGAGCCGACTGGGCCCTGACTGTGTTGGCAACGTGGGCCATTGCTGGACTGCTCCGATCTAGAGTGCTCTGTGCACCGAGATGGACCAGACTTTTCCAGTAAACACCAGAGGGTAGTGCCCATCCTGCCCCCACCCTCTGGCCAGTCCTCCATTCTGTCCCTTGCATTTCTTTGACTGAGGGTCTCACCCCCTTACCCAGTTGGTCAGGAAGTGGAGTCCCATCAAACGGCCAAGTCTGGGGAGGAGAGAGAGACAGAGGAAGGAAGCTTCCTGAAGGTAGGCAGTGGGCTGGGGGAGTGCTGGGCTGTCTCCAGATGGGGGAGCAGCAGGAAATCTTCCTCAAACCAGTCTGAGAACCAGAAGTTGGTAGGAAGCCTGTCTCTAAGCAGTGGCAGGCCTGGCGACCCTGGCTCCTCTTCTCACATCAGCCGGGGCCCCAAGGTCACTGAGGGTCCTCACTGAAGTCTGGAGACTCACTTGGCTTAACAGAGTGGTTTCCCACCTTTTGGGGAATCACAGATGCTTTAGATAATTTAAAGGAAACAACAAACACTTTTCCCGGAAAAATGCCCATAAGCATATACACAGTTTTATATACAAATTCAGGGACTCCTGGACAACCCCCTGCCCCCACCAAAGCCTCTGGAGAAATCCCCAGGTGGTCGATGGGCCCCGGCTTAAGAATCTTTGGTTTGTAATACCCTTCCCGGGATGGCAAGGTGCACCACCCCCCTCGCTGCGAGGGTGTCTCTGCCATTGGAGGCCGTCTGGCCACGGGCCCCCCTTCCCCTCTCTGAACAATCCAGCCTTCTGAAAGGCATCACCTTAGAACTACCTATTTTTGTAAATAAATCTATTGGAAACAACCATGCTCATGTATTTACGTGCTGTCTACGGCTGCCTTCACACTATAACGCTGGAACTGATAGGTGTCCCAGTTATTCCGTGGCCACAAGGCCTGAAATACTCACTCTCTGTCCCTTTATGGGACAGTCCTCCAATCTTTGTCTCACACTGACAGCGGCCACAGGCAAAAAATGACTCCAAGCCTGGTACCACACTAGGTGACTCACAACCCTTAGTACAACCTTTACAAAAATGCTGTGAGAGGAGCTTCCTTAACCACATTTTGGGCATGAGGAAGCAGAGGCACAGAGAGGGTGAGTCACTTATTTCACGTCACATAGCTGATAAGCCAAGAGACTCAAGCTTTTCCCATAACCCCGCACAACTGACTACTGACGAAGCGGCAGGGTTTTTCCAGGCACGGAGCTGCATCACAGAATTTTGGGGGTGGCCTGTGGTCAAGCCAGGAGTCCTGGTGGTGGTGACTGTAAACCTGATGAGGTCCTGGAGATGATGACCTCAAGCATGGCCCTCTCCGAGGCGTGAGGCTGAGCTGCAGGACCCAGGCTTTGGCTCCAGCCCCCATGGCCAGCAGGCAGGACCTGGAATCCTGCCAGAGTTAGGCAGAGGGGTGCAGCCTCCAAGGAGCTCCTGGGAGGCCCTGTTTGCTCTAGAATCCATGACCCTGCACGTAAGCACAGCCCACGCAGCCTGCCTTCCCCCAGAGACCCCCAGCGCACAGACACACAGAGTCATTCCTGCTCCCACCCCCACACCCCCTGGAGCCTGGGCAGAACCAAGTTCACCCGCCGGTTCAGGGGCCGGCTCACATGCCTTCCACAGAAACACAGAGGCTGCATTGTGTTCTCTCAAACGCCAGGACACAGTGTGCAGGTCATCTCCCTCTCTCCCTCGACAGCGACGGCGGTGGCCTGCCCCTGGCATTTAGTGCACCCAACACAGACAGCCCTGAGGAGTGAGGCCAGGGCAGAAAATTCAGTGAGAAAAAAGATTTCACACCTCAGTCGTGTGTGAACGCTTGCAGTTTGGGTTTTTTTCCAGCAGAAAGAAAACCAGTCTGATACAATCCTAACAATAAAAAGAAGTTTATCTTCTCATGGCTCCAGAGGCTGGACGTCCAAGATCAAGGACTGGTTGGTTGGTTTCTGGAGAGAGCCCCTTCCTGTCTTCCCATAGACCTCACGTGGCCAAGGGTGAGCTCCACTGGGTCTGGCTCAGGGAGGGCCCACCGCTCCGCCCTCCCCCGGGCTCTGCTCCAAACACGGGTGCCCCTGGGGTGGGGCTCCAGCATGGGAGCCTGGGGGAGCACTGGGCAGCCCCCCACCCTGCAGCGAACTAACAGGCAGTCTGCTCCCTGCTCCACCTCCCATCCCCTACCTCCCAAACTTGTGAATGAGTAAAGCGGTTTTGGGGGGTGGCGGTGGGGTCAGAGCATCCCTAAGTTCTGTGGTTTTCAATGCGGCGCCATGGATTTGGGTTATTTTAAAAATAGTTTCTGCAAATCATGGGCAAATGGTATCACACTGGGACAACTTGCCATCAGCAGTGGCCCTGTTTTACTTCAATGGAAGTCATGCTTTCTGAGCACACCTGCCTGGGTGAAGTGGAGCCTGCCACCCACAGAGGTGGTCACAGCAGGCTGCAGGGCACAGTGCCCCCTTCCGGACGGTCGTGGGCAGGACAGCCTTCCAGAAGAAGGAAGAGGGGCGGGAGCTCAGGCACTCGCTGGTTGCTCACCAAAGTGCCCTGGGGCAAAGTTTCCCTGTTTCCTGGCTTCCCCCAGCCTGGCTGCACCTTTGTCCTGCAGGGCCACAGCGGCCACAGCAATGACGTCGGAAGCTCTGACAGCTAGGGGGGATGGTGAGCAGCGCACGTACCATACCTCCTAAAGGGCGTCACAACAGTGGACGTGTGTACCCGTGTGTCTTTACCTGTGTTGTGCAAATTAGGAAACGTGAGCAAGGTGCGCTGCTAGCAGGACCAGTGCCGGGATCAGAGCCCAGGCGTACATGGAGACGGACAGGTGAGCAGGCTCGTGCACTCGCTGGGAAGAGTGTTGTGCTGGGGGTCTGCGGGGGCACAGGCAGGGTGCCTGTCCCAGGAGAGGGACAAAGCCACTTCACAGAGGCTTTGCAGAGGAGGTGCCACCCAAGGCCAGTTTATCCAGAATTATCCAGAAGGGCTGGGGGGTGGAGGGAAATCACATGCGAAGCCACTGAGGCACCAAGAGGATGTGAGGTCTGCAGCAGCTGCAGGTGGCCAGAGGGGGCTCCGTGTAGGACCCAGGTGGGGGTGGGGTGTGCAGCTGTCCTCAACAGTTCTCCTGCCATGGCACAAGGAGGTAGCATGTGACGGGATCCCCCTGGGGTCTGGGGGCTTGGGGGAGAGGAAGCACAAGCGAGGAGGCTGGGCCAGAGGAGCACTGAGGTCAGGCTGTGGGCTGCAAAGGTGTGAGAAGGGTTTGTGGGCACCCCTCTGCGGCAGCTGTGGCTGTGTGGGGGCGGGGGGACACCTGAGGAC